AATGAGCACGATCCGACGAACTAAAACCATCAGGTCCTTCCTTTGCCGACAACAACACTGCTTGTTACTGAGATAATGCCCCCACACTTCAAGAGCCAGCATGATTGGAAATAACTCCAAGACTGCAATATTAAGAACTTCCCAGTCAGCTGGCCACTCCCCAAAAAACAAATGAGAACTAAAAATGCCACCGTACCCCAGTGACCCTGCTGCATCTGTGAACAAACAAAGAGATTCGGACGAATGCCAGATAGCATCCATAAAATGTGTCTTCCCATTATAACTATCCAAAAACTGCTTCCACACAAGAAGGTCTGCTTTAACCTCTTTGGTCAACCGGATATAAAAATTTGGTTTCTTTATGCCTTTTGTCAAATCAATTAACCTACGCAAAAATGCCCGGCCTGGAACTACCACGATGCATGCAAAATTTAAGGTCCCCACCAAAGACTGAATTTCCTTGGGCATCACCTTTCTCCTTACTAAGAAAGTATCAATCAAGCTGCGACAACGCAACAGTTTATCCTGTGGCAGTCGACACTCGCCTTGAACTGTGTCTAACTCAATACCTGCAAATACCATGGAAGTGTTGGGTCCCATACTCTTTTCCTGTGCAATTGGAATCTCAAGGTCAGCACACAAATCCAAAAAAAGCCTGCAAATCCGAAAAACAGCGCTCCCTAGTTCGTGCCAGAAATAAGAAATCATCCAAAATGTGAATAGTTGCCTCAACACCCACAACTTTAAGCAAAATCCACTCTAAAGCTGAACTAAAATGTTCAAAAATGTGGCACGATGTTGAGCAACTTCATTGGAAGACATCTATCGAAAAAGAAATGATCATCCCACCTGAAACCCAACAAGCAATGGACATGGGGAGCTACTGGAATAATTCTAAATGCTGATTTGATGTCAGTTTTAGCCAAGAAACAGCCTGGACCCAGATCCCTAATAATCTTAACTGCATCATCAATATTGGCATACTGAACAGTTGCCAACTCGGCTGGAATACCATCGTTTATGGATGAGCCTGATGGACAAGATAAGTGATGGATTAAACGAAACTTGTTAGGTTGTTTCTTGAGCACTAGTCCTAAAGGAGAAATACGCAAATTGTTAAATGGTAGAGCTTGAAAGGGACCAGCAACCCTGCCTGCCTGCACCTCAGTTTGAAACATATCCCAAACAATGTCTGGATTATTCAATGCAGATTTCAAATTAGGGGATGACCCTCCAACTCTCGGTCCTACATATTTTAAAGAAAATCCTTTTAAAAAACCTGCCAACAAATACAACTCTTTCCCCACATCAAAACCCGTCAGTAATCTACTCAGAATGGGCACTTTTACTGGGGTTACCACTAAAGGCAGCAGTTGGGGGTTTGGAGCCAACAGGACCCCGGGGAGTATAGTGGGGGCTCTCCCTTTTTCTGGTGTTAGCTTGCTGTGGCAATCCCCCATTGATTTGACTAGTGGAACTGCGGGAACCACATTTGAAAATTGGATGAGTTGCCCCACACTTGAAGCACTTGTGGTCGAAACGCCATCCAGGGCAGATCTTTCCCCCATGAAAACGCCAACAGAACCCTTTCGGAAAGGACTGAAATGAATTAGCAAACTCTGATTTGTTGGAAGTCGAAACGCTTCGACCAGCATTGACATTTTTTCCCAAATGTAATGCTTGTAACCACAATTCCCAGTGTGTATGGTCCCAGGGTAGTGGAATTGACTGCTTCAGAAAGCGAAATTGCTCATCATAAAACATCCAGCCAGCCTTTTTGGCTGCCAGGTCACGCACCACCTCTCCATATTTCATAAGACCTGAAATATCCTCAGCTTCTTTAGAGAATACACTGCTACAAAGATGTTAAATGCAAAAATCCACTGCTCAATTGACGTAATTTTCTTAGTACTAGCAGCGGGCTCAAGACAAAGCTGAGGCCTACCCACACCATCAGATAATGCAACGGTGTACCTACCATCCCGCAGGGAGGGATTACTAAGCAGAGTAGCGAAATCAATATAATCACCTGCCCAAATTTTAGATTTAACCTTATCTGACACCCTTGCTACCAAAGGTACAGACTGGCTAGTGAACAGTGTGGTTGGCTGCAGCTCTTTCTCTGAACCCTGAATTATAGGTTACTGTGTACCTGAATTA